GTACTAAAAATTTAGCCAAACAGGATCTCTACAATAGGTTAAATTTTGGGAAAAAATTAGATTTAGAAAGAATAAGGAAAAAACATTAGGTTAGCGGGTTTGTGACGGGGAACAAATGGAGTGCGTCCTGAAACTTTTAAGCTTTAAAAAAAAAGTTAGCAAGTAAGGGGGGGGTGAGAGTTGGACCTGGGACTGCTTAGTTGGGCAGGGGGCTCCAGCAGTGCTCCTTTCTTACGGGAACTTTTGGTGCACCCGCACCGGCAAAGTTTTCCCCTAAGGGGGACGTTATGATTGTGCTCAAAAAAAGGGCAGGGGGCACTGTAACAAAACTAAGACCCAGATACTCTCAAAAATGTTTTAAGAGTATGCAAATGCTCCAGAATTTATTTTATTATAGAAAGCAAAAATGTGAGGGCTTGCAGTACTTTTAAATGAAAAAATTTAAAAAATGTTACATCACTATAAATTAGTTTTTAAATGTAAAACAAAAATGGAGATTTTATAGAAAAAAATGCCTGTCGTAGGTAACAGCATTATAAATACATATTCGTACATGCATTATATAATAATATTCAGTTGTAAGTGATTTCAAATTAAAAAAAAGTTCAATTATTAGCCAGCCAGGCTAAAATAAATAAAAAATAATCTTCCAATGCCACATAAACAAAAAAAAAATTTAAAAGGGGCATCACTAAAATGTTACTTAAAGAGTGCCCTTTCCAGAGTGAAGTTTTCTGAAAAGAAAAATGCATAAATTAATAAGGTAATAAAAAATCTAGCGAGAAAAATTCCTTGATTATATAACAATCTTTTTCCTGCATAAATTTTTTTACACAAATGGCATCTGGATCAAAACTGAAAGCCTTCTTTCCCCCAGGCATTTGTCCCTTACAGGTTAAGATTTTCCCCACAATAAAATATTTAAAAGCTAAAATCTGAGGGTGGAATGATGAAAATTTGGTAAATATAGTTAGCAAGTGCAGGAATGGAACAGCGAAACACAAATAAAAGTATTCAGTATAAAACTGTTTCATAAGTTTGGCAAAAAAAACTATCCCATGAATTCACAGTAAATCATGCCTTTATCCCAGCATATCTCAAGAGAAGCAATAGCATTAAATAGTCATCAAACTGCCTTTCTCTTTTCCAGTCTTTTCCTCGTGTCCCAAAATTTGTGCTGAAAGATGTGGGTACACGTCAGAGAACACAATGTGTTAACCCTTTCATTGTCCAGACCCCCAAAATTTATGTTGCTCTCAGTGTCCAATTTAAAAAAAAAAAAATCTGAAATGGTAGACAATCTTTTTCTGAAGGTAATGACAACAAAAACACAAAATTTGATGGAAAACTTACAGAATTGCACAGGCACAGTTAGTGGTCTTGGCACAATTTATGCATCAGCACTTTCACCCACATTTTCTTAGCTATTTTGCTAGTGTGCCTTCTGTTCTACTGATTGAGCACAAGAAACCACTCATTTAACTATTTCAACCACTCTAAAGTACACAGTACTGTGTACAAAGTACACAGAATTCAGTAATTTGGCCAATTTTACACAAAATTAAAAAAATACCAATTTAAAAATAGAGCCCATAATAAAGAATGTAGACATTCCTGGCACTAAAACAACACTTCCTCTGTTCATTAATCACATTCCCAGGCCTCTCCTATATTACGCTTACCTTCCATTTTGAATTTTTATTCATGCAAACATAGAAGATTTGCTCTTTCTCAAATAATAAAATATGTATAACCAGGAAAGATTGGTCATCCCAGTAACTGAATCAGACCTGTTTAATTAAAACCCATAAAACTGACTGGGGTGTTGGGAAGCCTTACTTGCCCTCAGCAAAAACGGTAAAAAAAATATTTCCGCTCAATTTTAAGTTACATGTATGTTACTTCCAGTTCTGAAACCAAATAAAATTATCTCTATTTCAGTAATATGCATTCCATCCTATTTAATGGTACCAAGAAAAAAAAAATGTCAATATATTAAACTGTCCACAGGGTCAGTTTTGTTTTTCCCATCATGCACTGCATATGGCAGGATTTTTTTTATAATGTGCACACTCATTCTCTCATATTTAGGGCCAAAATTTACTGCTCACAATTTATGTGAGTGAGCCTAAGGGACCCTGTTCTTAATGACACAGTCCTATGTGACAGCCACTGAAAGGGCTAACATCCCAATATCACCATACTGGAGGGATCTGGACATGCTTTGGAATCGAAAGCTAACCCAAAAAGTTTTTTCCAGGTTTATAAAACAAAAGTTAGAGATAAGATAGGTCCCTTAAAAATAACTCTGGGCATCTTACTGACAAGGAGAAAGAAATGTGCTCTATTCTTAATAATTATTTTCTCTCGGTTTTCACTCATGAAGACACTAACAATATCCCAAAATTTATTTTTATAGTGGGCCTGAAGATGATAAATTATGCAATATCACAGTCACTAGCGAAATGGTTATCAAACAGATAGACCGGTTAAAGCAAAATAAATCCCCGGGCCCTGATGAACTTTTTTCAAGGGTTCTTAAAGAGTGTAAAATGGAACTTTGTGAACCACTGACTAATATTTTTAATATTTCTCTTCAAACAGGTGTAGTGTCTGATATGTGGAAGATGGCTAATGTAATTCCTATATTTAAAGCAGGGGACAAGTCGTTACGGTCAAATTACCGTCCAATAAGCCTAACCTCAATTGTAGGCAAATTACTAAGTCAATTATAGCTGATAATATAAGAAGCCATCTGGATAAGCACAGCTTGATTAATGATACTCAGCATGGATTCATGAGGGGCCGTTCCTGCCTAACTAATTTATTAACTTTCTTCAGTAAAGCTTTTGAGGCCGTTGATCATGATAAAGAATTCGATAACATTTATTTAGATTTTAGTAAGGCTTTTGATAGAGTACCGCACCAGAGACTGTTAAAGAAAGTGGCAGCTCATGGCATTGGGGGAAAAGTGCTGTCATGGATTGAGTCATGGCTCACCAATAGGAAGCAGAGAGTATGTTTAAATGGGGTTAAATCCGAGTGGGGATCTGTAACAAGTGGTGTTCCACAGGATTCAGTCTTGGGCCCATTGTTGTTTATAATATATATCAATGACCTTGATGAGGGAATTACTAGTGATATGAGCAAATTCGCCGATGACACAAAGATAGGTAGAATAACTGATTCAAACTTATATGTTGGGAACTTCAGGAGGATTTAAACAAACTCAATTCCTGGTCAGAAAAGTGGCAGATGCAGTTCAGTGTAGATAAATGCAAGGTTCTGAAGCTCGGGAGTGTCCATAACCCTAGTACTTATCAGTTAAATACCGTAGAACTTAGCAGTACAGATTGCGAAGAGGATTTGGGGGTTCTGGTAAGCAGCAACCTTAAACCAAGACAGCAGTGCTGAAGCATACGTAACAAAGCAAACAGATTACTGGGATTTATATCTAGAAGTGTAAGCAACAGAAGTCCAGCAGTTATTTTACAACTTTATACATCATTAGTAGGGCCTCACCTATGCTCAGTTCCTCTTTACATTCATTTAACACCCTTGCAAACAGTTCATCATGACCTGGGATTTGTTAGGGTTTTTTTCCTATTTGTCTGAGGGCCAGTCACTAGTTTCGCAATCATAAAATAGACGATGAAGCCATTGTGAGGCGAAAACGTTTCCTCAATAAAGAAACCCAAGAGTTGCAACATGTGTCTAATTTATCAGGTGTTTGTAGAGTATTTTTTCTACAAACTTTTTCATAAATTATGCATTTCACACATTCTTTACCAAAGGGGATGGCACTAAAGCTTTCTTTGGTGGTAAAGGTAGAAGTGTTGTTGGTAGAAGGGTAGTAAGTGATGGTGGTAGTAGTAGTTGTGTGGTGTAACAGTTGTATAGTGGTAGAAGATTGTAGTGATGGTGTAGAGGTTCCTTCTTTAGTGGCTTCCAGCAATTCTACCAACTCCTCCCATGTTTTGGAGTGTATATAGGGCACAAAACCACCTGCCGCTCACCACCATTATGGACCTCTTATCACTCAGCGGCCCTTATATACCCCAACAAACAACACAAACACATCTCCGTGACATACGTAATGACTTATTTAATTATTTCATTCGACAGTATATTCCATGTTCTATGTTATTAATATTGTTTATTATGTCATATTAGTTGAATTTTGATAGATAAATAAGCCATAGAGTTGATATTAGTGTCATATTCTCCAACAATAAACTTGCCATCCCTCCCTCACACAAATAGCCTATAAGAAACAATAACAAGAAAGAACACTGCGGGCCCCCCGGGCCCATACAAAGCAGGATCCTTATCAAAATGACCTCTGAAGCTTTATTTGGAGCCATGGTAGCTTATTTAGCACTTGCAAGCACTAAAATCAATGGAATATTATGAAATATTTCGTAGGAGCATGTGAGGAGACCGTCACTCACTGGTAAACAATGGCACACTGGCTGGGAAGGAAAGGCCGAGGCGGCTCAGGAGCGCGAGTTACGTGTCCAGGACGAAAGGACTATTAGGACTTATTAGCGAGTTTACCGACCATTGCGAGCCAATATTTTTGACGAAAAAACGGACCTATTTTCCGAAAATGGACGACTTTCAGGCCGGACGAATATTGAGGGACCACTGCAATTAACAGAAGCACAGTTAAAAAAAAAAATTACATTTGTGGGTTAAGCATTAAGCCGTAGGCTCAATACAGTGTCAGGGAATTGAGGCAACTGAGTTCAGTCCAAAGAAACTGAAGGACAATTTAATTCCTTGGATAAGAGCCCTCGCCAGCATCAGAACCTACCTGAGAGAAGCTCCGATAAAGCCACTTTTAAAACACTATACTCCAAATTACCTTTCCTGACTAATTAGTTGGTAACCTTAAAAATTTAATGATAACTTCTGTAAACAGTAATCGTGTTTATTAAATAGAGCACAATAACTAAGAATGGTACTGTAGCTTACTGGAACATTACAGTGCCACTCACAGTTCCTGTTCCAGCTTGAGTTGGGTCCTTTTCTCTTCTGCCCACTTTCATTTCAGAACCAATTTCAGCAACTGACAATATAAGTTTTTATAAGTACCATTAACCTAAATAATCAAATGAAAATTTTATTGAAAAGATCAATTTTTTACAACAGCTGTCTCCCACCAAGGTATTGATGAAGACCAAACCAGAAAATACATCTACCAATCAGTCATTCAATAGCTGTCTTGCCAGAAGTAGCTAACCTCACAATTAAGATTACACTCCGCTACAACAACCTACTTCTGCTCAGAGTGTCAGACAGTAAGAACTATATACAAAAAATGATGTACATGGACCCCCTCATAGCGACCTTAAAAAAATCCGTGCAAGAGGGCTGGTTGTTAATGAGAAATGTTCGGTAGCGGAATAATATTCCCCATAAGAAATAATGGAAACCAAATTAAATCCGTCAAGACACCCAAAAGTATGAAAAAAAAAAATTTTACCACATGAAATATATCATTTTCCTACACAACAAAGAGAAGGATACATGCACAATATTAGAGTAGTACATGAACAATATATATTGTGCATGTACTACTCTACTAAATGAAGAATAAATGACACTTACCTTTATTGAAGATTGCAGCAATTACTGATGAGACACTGTGTCCTGGGAGTGCCTTTTCCTCCTTGAGTACTGTAGGTCCTGTTTTGGCATTTTCTTTCCAGAACAGCCTTATCACAACTGTATGGCCACTCCGATTCTTAAAATCTCTCCAAACCAATCTTGCTGGCCTTTAAATTCACCAATATGAGCACTAGTTCCAGGCATTTATTCCCTGGTCACCTGTGTAGTCACAGGTGTGGGTTGCATCCTGGGAGACAAGAATAAGGACCCTCCCAATGGAAATAAGTTAGAACAGTCTTCGATGACACTGACTTTTTTTTGGGTTATCCTGGGTGTGAATCCACTGGGTTAATTGTTTCTTGGTATTCTCAATAAGCCACACCAACAACGGTGCTACAATGCAGCACAGCAGCAGCTGACAGTGCTACAGCAGCAGCAACGATGCTACAGGCCAGCAGCACAGACGTACTACAGCAAGCAGCAGACGGTATACAGCCAGCAGCCAGCAGCAGCGGACGGTGGTACAACAGCAGCAGCAAGCATGACAGAGCTACCAGCAGCAGCAAACGATGCTACAAGCAGCAGCAGACGATGCTACAGCAGGCAGCAGCAGCTGACAGTGCAGCATGCAGCAGCATCTGACGGTGTACAGCAGCAAGCATCAGCTGGTCTCACCAATAGTAGCGATGGTTGATTGGGGTTTATTATACAACTTTGGCCAGCTCGAGACACGCACTCCACTTTTCATACTATCAATGACTTTTTCTTTATATCTATAGTAATTCTCACCCTTATTGCTGTAGGGTTGGCACTAAGCTTTCTTGGGCCCATGGTCACTTATTTCCAGATAAATCACCAAAAACACTGTAATAATACGAAATGTTCCATTGTATGCTTGGATGTTACCGCGAGGCTGCTGGTAAACAATGTCACCCACGGCGGCACATGTGAGGCTGGCTAAGGGCCACATTGGATGCTCTCGGGACTAAGAGCAGTGAGGCAGGTTTTTGAGGCGTATGTGAGGCAAATTTTTTTGCGATAAAAGCAAGGCGGTATGCGGATAACGTTATGCGATGCGTACGGGTATGCGGGGGGTCCACTGTATGCAGTAAAACATCATTATGCCAAATTTTTTCGATTTTTTCAATGCTTTTGGTATTTTTTTGTAAAAAATATAATGAAATATTCAAAAATATTTCGAATTCATCGAAATTTTTTGGGCTTTTTGAAGAAATATGTAATATACTTTAAAATATTTGAAAGCTCGAAAAATTCAATTGCATTATACCAATTCTATATAAAAAGTTTGAAACAATCCATGAATTTTCTAGTCCAACAATATCCAGGATTTGTCGCCCTGACAAATGTGTTCTAAATGACCAAATCGTCAAAATAAGCAGTATAACACATTTTAAACCATATTTATCGATTTTTCAATGCTTTTTGCTATTTTTAAAAAACCTGAAGCATTAAAAAATAAAAAAATATGGTAAAATGGTGGTTATACTGCATGATTTCGACGATTTGGAGCATTTAGAACACTTCTAGCAATTCTGATAAAAAAGTTTGAAAATCCAATGAATTTTAGCTAAAAAATGTCAGGTTTGTCTGAAAAGTGTTCTAAATCTCTATAATCGTCGAAATAGCATGAAAAACATCATTTTGCCATCTTTTTTCGATTTTTTTCATGCTTCAGCTAATTTCATATATTTCTAGCATTTCATATATTTCATATTAGTTTTAAAAATACCAAAGCGCGAGTGAAAACATCCGGAGCGCAATAGGGGGGGCGAAGGGGGGGGGAGAGGGGTGGGGAGAGATTTTACGCAGTAGGTTTCGACGATGGTTAGGGAGCATTTAGGAACACTTTTTCAGACAAACCTGACATTTTAGTGCTAAAGTCATTGATTTTCAAACTTTTTTATCAGAATTGCTAGAGTGTTCTAAATGCTCAAAACGTCGAAATATAGCAGTAAAACACCATTTTAACCATATTTTTTTTATTTTTTTAAATGCGTCAGTTTTTTTAAAAATAGCAATAGCATTGAAAAAATCGAAAATATGGTAAAAATGATGTTTTTACTGCATATTTTTGACGATTTGGAGCATTTAAACACTTTTCCAGACAACCTGATATTTAGCTAAAATCCATGGATTTTCAACTTTTTTTAATCAGAATTGCTAATGCAATTGAAATTTTTCGAGCTTTTCAATATTTTAAAGTATATACAAAATTTTCAAAAAGCCCAAAAAATTTCGATAAATTCAGAAATATTTTTTGAATATTTCCTAAATTTTTTTAAAAAATACCAAAAGCATGAAAAAATCGAAAATGTGGCCAATGATGTTTTACTGCATACAGTGGACCCCCGCATACCGGTACGCATCGCATAACGTTCATCCGCATACCGCTTGCTTTTATCCAAAAATTTTCCTCACATACCGCTCAAAAACGCTGCTCAGCTGCTCTTCGTCCGAGACGCATCCAATGTGCGCCCCTTAGCCAGCCTCACATGTCCGCCGGTGACCATTGTTTACCACCAGCCTCCGCGGTAACATCCAAGCATACAAATCGGAACATTTCGTATTATTACAGTGTTTTTGGTGATTTTAATCTGAAAATAAGTGACCAGGGCCCCAAGAAAGCTCTAGTGCCAACCCTAAACAGCAATAAGGGTGAGATTACTATAGAGATAAAGAAAAGAACATTGAAGAAGTATGAAAGTGGAGTGCTGTCCTTCCGAGCTGGCCAAGTTGTATAATAAACCCCAATCAACCATCGCTACTATTGGTTAGACATCTGCTGCTGCTGCTGTACCACCGTCAGCTGCTGCTGCTGCCAGCACTGTCAGCTTGCTGTGCTGCTGTAGCTCGTCTCTGCTGCTGTAGCATCGTCAGCTGCTGCTGTAAGCTCTGTCCAGCTGCTGCTGCTGTATGTACCACCGTCAGCTGCTGCTGCTGCTGCTGTAGTACCGTCTGCTGCTGCTTGTAAGTACCCGCTCTGCTGCTCTAGCATCATCTGCCTGCTGCTGTAGCACTGTCAGCTGCTGCTTGCTGCTGCCTGTAGCACCGTTTGTTGGTGTGGCTTATTGAGAAACCAAGAAACAATTAACCCCAGAGGATTTGCCACCCAGGATAACCAAAAAAGTCAGTGGTTGTTGAGGAAACTTTTTTGCCACACAGTACTTCTTCAGTCCATAGCAAGGAAATGGGAAGAAAGAAGTCGTTTGAAGTAATCAGTCTTGAGTCGATTGATCAGTCCATCAATCTTGAAAAGAATATAGGATATGTGCGAAGAAATGGGCTTATTTACTACAGGCAAGAGAGGTGCAGCAGTCCTAGGTGTTTATCACATTTGACGAATGTTGAAAGTAGATCATTCCACCTACAACTGCTGCATGGTGGGCACCTTACCTGCCTACAGTTATATAACCATTTCTTTGCACATATCTGTATCTTTTTCAGATTGATGGACTGATCACATGTCTCAAGCTGAAGGACTGGTTACCTTCAAACTCCTCCTGTTCTTCACATTTCTCCTTTGTATGGACTGATGAAGCACTGTGTGGTGAAACATTTCCTCATTAAAGATACCCAAATTGTCGCATATGAATCTATTTTATCTATGTAACTGTATTTTTGTATAACTGAATAATACTTTACTTTACATGACTGGAACAATATACAAAATAACCCCACACATAGAGATAAAAGTTTATGCCTGACGTTTGGTCTGACTTGGAACCATTGACAAGTACAACTAGCACATGATATATACTGGCTCCTCCCTCACCCTCCTATGTGCAGGTTATTTGTGTAAAACAGAGAAGAAAGATTGTAGGCAGCAGTGTATAGTGAAGAGGTAAAGATGGACTGATGTAATCAGTATATCAATCTCAGAGAATAGTTTGATGTGGTCCAGATCCCTCAGCCTGGAGAAGAGCTCAGCTCCATGGTCTGAAACAATACTGAGCTGACTCTTTTCCAGCTGGAAGGACTGACACCTCAAACTATTTCTCCAAGACTGATGACTGACTATATTATATTATCTTATCCACACCATACTCCTGCTGCCTACAATAGTTGCACATGCATCTTATCAACTTCTTGTTATTTTATACCATTTTCAACCAACAAACTATTGTTGCAATAGCCTGATAAGAGTTGCCTCAGAGAAGTGAATGTAGCTATAGTTACTCATGTCAATTTGTCTAGCTAACGATGCCAACACCCAGTACGTATTCTAATTCTCAAATATTCTAACTGTCCCTCAACAAGAGGTAGACTTGTACAGAGACAAGTACGAAAGAATGTTTTTTTGACAAGGTCCAGGGTAGATTTAACAATGAAGACTGCTATACTAGTCTAGCTGGCTTAAAACTTTATAATGCACCCTATCCTGCAGACAGTAGTCAAAAAATTAAGAGAGGCACATAATGGATCCAGAGACTGCATATC